TGGTTATGTAGGAACGCCGAGGTATTTTAGTCACCCTGGGAGTGATATCATTACCAACAAGCTGGTTATTAATATGGGACTGAAAATGGGAACCGGTTTTGAGGCTGAAAAGGGCAACACGTTTATTGCTATTAAGTAGCAGACACTGAGTGTAAACCCGCTTAAATTTGATTGAGGCAATCTTGGAGTTGGCGAAAACTCTGGAGACCGATCGAGAAGCACAGTTATCACGTTTACAGCGTCATTGCTCGCGATGAATTTCGGAGGCACTGGAGGCGGGCTTTCAATCTTTGGAGACGAAATTGCTCCCGGAAGTAACTTCCGATGAGGAGGAAGTTGTATCGTTACAAAAATTGGACTGTTTCTTATGTGGAAAATGCTTAATAAGGACATCTTGTTCCAGGCCACGATTACATAGTCATTGAGTGAGAATGTCACAGGCTACTCAAAATCATTACCAGTGGTTCAGTCACTGAAATCGGTGTGCTCTGGACCCTGTGGTTCAAGCCTCTCCACTGCCACCTAACTTTGGTGTTAGTTAGCTTTGCTGTCGTCCGGTTGAATAATACGCCTAACCTAGTGGGACCTTATTTGGTTCGCCACCCTAAGTCCCGCGGCTTAGGTTACCGGTTTCCATCAATGAACCGCAAGTCTTCGTGACTATGAGGTTAGCATGGTGTTCATCGCACACGTGTGTGATAAAAAACTCCCAGACCTTTTGTCAAATGAAGGAACAGACTAAAATAACGCGGACAACTGTATCCAGTGTCAAAGCCAGATCTCCAGGTAAACTGAGGTGCGTTGTAAGCATCCGATCAGGAAGTCATCCTGGTTAAAATATTCGTTTAAAATCATTCAACAGTTCAAGCACTGTCGCTCTTGCACTTACTCGTTATCTGTGCAAATACATTTAAGCGCATTTTATATTTATCTGGTCTAGATAACCAGCGATACACTGTATTCTTCTACCCATTCCTTCTATAATCGATCGCATGATTAACCAATAAGCACCAAATCAAATAACCTGTGGAGGTGCTAGGTTATTGTTTGGATAGATTGAAAATGACTAACGGACTAGTTGAGGGTCAGATGTGCTTCTTTTCGTATATTTTACATTCATACGTTACCCAGTGTTAACGAAAATTTTGTAACTATGCTGGGAGTGCTCCTGTTGATTCTTACCTTAACTTTCAATTTTCTCCTCGCAAACTGGTCGCGGAGGATGCGCGACAGTACTTAAGAACTTGGTGTTTTTACCATTTGGCTCAAGTTCTTTGCACATGTTTGCGAATGGTGCTGTCACGGCAAATGAGACCCACCGATAAATATAACCACTATCCCGTCGCTTTACATTTACCCGACGAGGTCCTCTATGATGGACGAACAAACCATCTGACTGGCCACCGGCTCGTTTGGAAGACCACTGTTACCTTGTAGTTTGCTCTTGGTTGCACAAAGACTAAAGGGCATCCTCGGACAAGGCCTACTCTGAACGGGACAGCCAAATAGTACAGTAGCCCACGGAATTCATCACACACTTGAACTATTAATCTACGATTGATTCTTCGTTTTACATTAACTCTCCCAAGAAAGAAAGTAACCAAACCGTACACAACCGCTTGTTCCCGCAAAACTACCCGATTTTCACACTCATCAGGAGCTTTAGTAATCCATACATGCGGTAGTATCTCTGACAGAGATCCTGCTCAAATCTTCATGCCTCTCGTCCAGTATCCAAGTCTCACCGAGTTTGCCTCTGCCGGGAGATGTTCTTCGTCCTCACTGCTCCTTCCGACCAGCCACATTTACTTTGTGAGTCCTGATACATATAGTACTACATGTCTGTTCAGCTCGTACGCTTAAGACCGCTTAAGACCGTATCAGTGTGTTGATTTCAAGAGACTCGTATCCAAAACTTCAGCTACCTAATCCATTTGCTACACATGCTGGACCAATTCGAGAAGTTTTATTTATACCTTTAGCGGACTCCGGGCCAGCGGTTTCGGGACTTGTTGGGGTTGGTATAGGTATACGTGAGCGAACTGAAGCTGCTTTTCTAGATGAAATCCTAGTTGACAGTATGTTATGCGAAATAAGACTTGGAAGTTTGTGCGAAGTTATCGGTTGGTGACTATATAGATGTGATTAGTTTGTCGCTTTGACATACACATCCACAGACCGCGGCCCAGATGCAGTCAAAGATAAGTTTTACCACAAGCTGCAGGACCTCATAATTGTTTTACAGCTAATCCGACATGTGTCCCTTGGTGGGTTTTGTTAAATCCACCTGAGGCGACAATCTGCCAGGAGATTCTAACCGTTACTCATCCCAAAACGTCCGGCCCCGATGACCTTCCCCAGCTCTATTTGGAAATTGCAGAAGAAAGCTTTTTATGAAACTGGGAGCTTCAGTAGACTAAGGTTGCAAAGAAATTGAGACGATGCATGACCGTAACTGTTTACGACACCCAACCATATCGCACAGTGCCTCCATCTCGAGGTCACCATCTGGCTAGCCTAGCGCGTTTTATATGACCGAGTTTCTTGGTTATGGTTTTTATAACATCATGGCAGGTCTTAGTTTGACCAACCTGACCTTTTCCCACCCACTGTTTGCATCGGAAAACATCGCTCGCCGTGGCAACCTGTTCAGTGGTATAAACAACACACGCCCCAACCAGCGTAATCTATGGAGGTCGACAACTTGCTCCGGTGAGCGACTGCGGTTACCCAAAACACTGCGAATAAACTCAGCGTTGCTCATCTGGTTACCCCATCAGATTCGTACAATGCAGCGTAGACAGTGTGGTTCAAACACCCACAATCTATCTTTATCCTGTTTTCCTAATGAACAAGTTTCTGAGCCGTATTGTAGAACTGACCGAACTGCCGACCCTTCACCAGCAGACAACGGTGCCACAAATGTCTCAAATTGGCGATTGCAAACCGAACCTACTGTATATGAGTTGTCACTTCATCTGTGATGCGTCCATTGGGTGAGATGTAACTACCCTATGTTAGTCGACCGAAATGCTACGAACAACCGTTGGTACTTGCTCACGTTTTGTAACAATTGTATGAATTTTTATATCCAAGCTTTTGCAGGTCTGGTTTTTTGTCCTCGCTCAGATAGTATTTAACTTGCTTGCCATTCTTTTGTTTCGACAAATGATAGGTCGATAAACTCTACCACACTACCTGACTTAGGTGACCGGCGGTTACCTGCCGTTTACAACTTAAATATCATTTATCACTATAACTAGAAACCGCGTACCACATTTGTAGCATGACTAACTCATGAAAAAGGCACGATTAATAGCTTTTTGCACAAGGGCTCATCTAAGTCGAATTAGTTTGTAACACTCAGTTCAAATCCGTTTTGTGATTCTGAAACCAAATTTGATCAGTCTGCGTATTTTCTTCATCGAGAAATGGTAGAAAAACATGCTAGGGTTGATAACATTTTTCGCTCTATACGTCGATGACATCACATTGTTAAGAAGCAATGCACAAATAGTCCTATACGCTTTAAACCGCTTGGCGATCGCAGTATACAGGCCTGGTATGTACTTTGCACCACTAAAGTGTACTCATGACGTCGATAGAAGCATGTATCTGCGCTCCCGCAGAAATGGCCAAAAGCTTTAAGTACCTCGCGAGTTTTAGAAACAATCGGAGTTAATGGTTATAGTTCACATGTGGCACTTATGACACCTCCGTGATACCTAACTTTGCTAACGGTAAGATTTGCATCTTTGTGGTTCGTGGTGTTGTACTTTATGTATATAAAGACGCTAATCGGTTTTCTGTATTCGTTGGCCTCATATTACTGCTGTTACTTGGTAGAAACATTGTGTGAACTATGATGCGGTTCTTTTTCATCAGTTAGATGCTTTTGACCCCTCAACACTGCCGCTTGAAAGTGCATGGTAAATGGTTATATAACCTAAAATACCGCTGCTGATGGATTGATCATGTTTTGCGTGTCCGCCCATCGTCTACCTTTTCGTGCTTGCTTGAAGCTTGCTCTGCTATCCCTGAAGGAAATCGGTGACCAGACAATGACTTGGCTTAGAGGTATGAGGAAGTTAGCTCTAACATGTTTATCGGTTGGTGAAACCCACCTTTTAGATTGGGGCCTAAAGGGTGAAGGTTATCTTTGGTTAGATACGCTGTAATTTCTGACCCAGAATTAAAGTCAGTGGTACGAACGCTGTCACGACTAACTGTTGAAACTTGGTGCTCCAAAACAACCAGTCAAAAAGATCATCAAAATATGTACGATGGAAACAAAGAAGCCTCGTTATTTTTTTTAAACCGTCGTCACTCGCTTTCCTGATTTGTGGTCCATTTCATTTCAATTTTAACTGCTATTTTCGAAGGATGCTTATTATATATATATATATATATATATATAATATTTTATATATATCTACATGTATCTTATTCTTCTACCAGAATTCATTGCAAATTATTATGCACCTCTTTTGGAGTCTGTCAAATAGTAATAATAATACTAATTACTATTATCCTGCAATACTACCAAGACAACCGAATTCAGTTAGGATGAGTTAGGATATAAGTGACCTCTTAAATATGATAAATATATCCATCTTTTCTCTCGCGTATCTCTTCCCTTGAGCTGTGATAAATGGCGCTAGAAGCGATCGCTTGCTTGACCACTCGAAAATTCACCTCCAATCCACAAAAAGGAAAAAAGTTATTGGTTTAACTTTCTACTAATGCGAACACCAAATAGATGTGACCGGGTTTTTTGATGCCGAAACCTGAGAAATTTTTATGAGGTGCAAACGTGTGTCCACGAGAATTTCAATCATTCTCTATGGTGCTTACACAACCTGGTTTCTGCTTTTCTTTTTTTCACAGAATCCCCCGAGCTCCAAGCTGAAAGTCAACTTTCCTCACGGCATTCTTGTAACAAAAAAATATTAGTTGCAGCGGCAATAACAAAGATAGGAATATTCTGAAACCGTGTCAGAATGCTTACTCATTACACTCGTACTCGTTCCAAACAAGAACGCTTATGGGACGCTTGTAGTTACGGGCGTGAAACTACCGTGAGAACCTTAATCGATGCCGGGGCCAATCTGAATTGGAAGTCGCATGTGGTACATACTCACATATTCTCACAAACAATATTAACTGCTAATTTTCTCCCTCTTTCCCAGTACGAATGTTATCCTATTCATATTGCTTCTCAAGGAAAACCGGCCATTGTGCGTATGTTGTTAGAGGCTGGCTGCCAGGTGGACGCGTTGGATGCAGTACGTCAGTCTTGTTCGTTTTGTTCTACCAGCATTCGGGTTTCCGTTTACTTTTCTCTCGCAGAAAGGAAATACTGCATTGCACCATGCGGCCATGTCTGGTCGAGTCGTGAATGTACAAATGCTTCTGAATGCCGGGGCTGCAATTGACGCATGCAACGAAAATAATTGGACTCCGTTGCTTAATGCAGTCTACTGGAATCATGCCAAAGTCGCTTCAGTGCTTATTGCACGCGGTGCTGATCCATTGATTAAGAACAAGGTGAGCTCATTGGGTTTCCCTTGGATTTCTATTTCCGTTTCATGACTTCCTATTCTTCTGTTGTCTTTACTACGCGATCAATCATTCGGTCGTTTGGGGTATTTTATCGCTAAACAGTGATCTGCGGCTCTCTCAAAAGCAAACGACAAGCGTGTTTGTGATGGGAGACGGCTGTCCAATAATTCATAGTCTGACAACGAGATGCCAAAGCCGTAGAACGAAAATTGACAACAAACAACAACGGAGTAATTGGTTTTACAAAACCTGCTAATGGGATACCATTTGTTAGGGACAACGTGTACTTTCCTCAGCTCCTAGTTTGTATCGAAAACCACCTTTTGATATGATCAAGTTTCCTGGCTAGGTTTCTGCAACAAATATTTCTCAGGGTTCCTGATAAACGCTTTGGTAAAGCCCAAGGAACAGTGCTTTCGAGCTCTTCGTAATAATTTGATACATAAACATTGAACCACACATCGACAGTGCACATTGGTTCACTTTGACATGGCACATTTGACCGACAGTGTCTTATATTTCTGATCGACAATCACTCAGATAGGGCGAAGCATGTTCCTTTGCTAGATTTATTACGCGCGCAAGAACTGGTCATTCGTAAACAATCAATCAATTGCCTAATCGATTTTCTGCAACTGTCCTCCTCTGCCTACTTAATTTTCTCCGTACACGCAATCTCTGTTCCTTCTAGGATGGTCGCAATGCACTGCACGAGTTATGCCGCAGCAAGTCTCGTGATTCGTCCGGTCTGGACGAAATTTTGGTGTCTATTTTGGACAGCTTGAGCATGCGTGAGGATCCAAAACAATCATCCACTTCCAATCAGATGATCGACTGTCGCGCTGAGTGTCGCAATTCTTATGATTTTGAGGTCAGTGTTTTTAATATTTTTGCCAATACTTGATCAATACTCAGTAGTCTTCACTCATGTAATTCTGTTACTCTATGCAGAAGCGATCGATCAAGTTGCTACCACTCATGATAGAATTTAGGAGGATCACAAAAAACTTTTGTTTCAATCAACAGACTGTGATATGACTTATTCTTCTGGGAACGCACCCGTGATACTGATTGCGTTTATTCTCGTACCTAGCTGACTGCTTCGTATTGAGCATCGGATTCACTGTATCGCCAATCTTAGTTAACCAGTTGCCTAAAAATGTAAAACAACGAGATAACCAGAACTACACCATCCTAATTGTCGATTAGTGGTCCTCAAGGTAGAACAAAACAAGGCGTTCGGCTTGCTCTTGGAATATGCCGTTGTTTTGGGGCCCGATTTCCCATTTTTTTAATTGGTTATTGCAGATCGGCTCAGATGGGGTTTAGACTTTTAAGAAGCATTTAGATGTTTATTTTTAAGAGGTATTTCAAATTCCTGATTTTTTTTAGTTTACTTCCCGTTTGATTGATCGTGTGCTCGGTGGTCGTAGAAACTAAAGTGAAGAGAGCAACTGCTGATCACTCATACAGCTCTCGAAGGTACTTGATATCAAATTTCTGCATTTTCATCGCCGTGAAAGGTGTTCATCTTGAGAGGTTAATCGATGGTTCTTCTTCGAAATAAACGTCGACAGGACTCAGTAAACGCTTTTTACTGAGTGAAAATAAACGATCTTTGAGGTGCCTGATGGTGTTTGATTATACACCGAGAACTATGCCGCACACAGCCGGAATCCTGCTTATTCTGTTCTTGATACTTCACTTAATCTATATGGTACTTTTATGGTTTTACGCAGTATCAAAGTGTGATGCCGGTGTAGGGTGTAGCACGAAATAGACTTCACAATCTCACAATTGCGAAAGGACAGAAACGATTGATCTCATCCGTAATGTTCTATGGATAATAATGAAGTATATGTTCTTTGTACGTTAGCGGCTTTTAGCACGCTTTAGAAGTTTGCTAAAGGCCGGTCGGTGAATAAGAAGTAGATGTATAATAGAACTTTGTTCAACCAGGCCAGTTTCATTTCAATCCATTACCTGTGGACTGTTTAAAGTTGTCGACCTTGCTAACTAACTAACCCACCACAGAAACTAGTTTCTCGGGTAAAGAAAGTGATGTTTTAGATCACAAGGTAAGTTATTTGTTTTCACCCGGTCTCTTTCTGATTGACTCCATCCTTCTGGCGGTCATCGCATTATGTCATCTAGCAGCAAACACGCTACCATGGCATGTATTAGGTTTGTGTTTCCAATACTTAAATGTAGAGTTTATCTTTATTAATCAGTCTTAACAATATACACAGAACGACGGGGTTGCTCTTACAAAAGTAGACAAAACTGAATTTGTCCAATTTTTTGTGATTGCGTGATGTGATCCACGATGAATGACAGGCAGATTTGACGGCCTGTTGCTACGAGAGGCTTAAAAATACCCCCACCAGATTTTGCATCCTGATTGGCGCCTGAGAGCAGTTTGGGTCGTTTCATCTGAACGTGTTCCGCGTTTCTCTGGTCCACGTATCGATCTGTTCTGACAGTTTGTGCTACCACTGTTGTAACCCGATGGACAAATAATGCTTGGGATATCGAAAATTTTGAAAAAAATATTGAACGGTTTTCCATGCATATGGGTTTCTGACCCGTGTTGCTTGACCAACCTCGTTTGGACCGACCGCTACTATAGATTTGGGCTTGGTCTTCAGTTTTTGTTGTTCGAGCATTCATTTTCCTGGTAACGCTTCTTGTTCTTCCGCGTCTAAGCATTTATCTTTACTACTCTATGCGTTTATGGTGGAAGAAAATTCTTAACCAGTAAACGCCTACCAGCGCAGCCTGATCATTGCTATTTGTCACTGATCCACAGTGTATTCTGGTGTGCGTGTGTGGCTGAACCACCGGAGGTTTTTCCTATTGATGATCGGGCTGGTTATTAAAAACACGGTTGCACGTCTCATATGTAATCAGTTTGCACAACCAATGTACCGATTATGTGTGATAGCCGACAGAAAATACTCGATAACTGTTTCATCCTTGTTGAGACTCATCAGCACGGTGTACCACTTTTTACATTATCGTAGTCACTCAAACCATGAACGTTTCGGTAAAGAGTTAAATTCAACGAAAGCACAACATCCTATGATTTTGCGAAGCTTACCCGATGCTTGTCCGTCGCGGTTCGCGCTCCAGTCGTGCTGTTTTTGAGTATCCGCGGCACGGATATATTCCAGAACGTGTCCGGGGGCTGCAATTTCGATCGAATTCGGAGTTGATTTTTTCTCACACCCGTACACACACACACACACACAGACTGCACTTGCATTTTCGTCCATCATCCTTGCGATATTCAGATCGCGTCAGGGGTTCAACAGAACCTTTTTGCCCACTGTTTTTTTATCGAATGAGTTTTCGATCGTTATGTGGATGATGCCAATGTGCATGGGACGTTGTAAACGAATGTGCCCAGTTTTTTCCTCGTGCTAAATTCTTTCGTGTGTGTTATTTTCGCTTTTGTCTCACAGACGTTTTACACTTCCGACAGAGAGTCCTAAAGTGCCGTTGCTTCTCCCGTTCACTTGGCCCGGTTTCATGGCGGTTTTTACTGAAATGGCTAATTTGCCCCCGGGTTGATCCTTCATTCTGAGGGATTGTATTCAGTGGTTGCATTCCGATAAAATTGCTCGCCTCCATTCATGGTCATAATCTGTGACTATTATTCCCTCAAATCACTAATCGGGGACGACGACATCAATGGGTATATCCGTGTCTTGAGCAGTGCTTGCTATCAGAGTGGTGTTTAAAGCTACAAGTAGAACTTAAATGACAATGCAAGGGATGTGGATGAAATCTAAGCACCGGGAATATACTAGCAAACCAGCGTGTTTTCAATGATTCATCAACTGNTAATGAATCACTTTTTATATCGCATCTGTTTGCTATAAAAAGAGATCAACTTTGCATGGGTCAGTGGCGCGGGGAGGATAGTTTGTTATCTGTCCAACGTCTGCAAACCGAATGTGGTTCAGGTTGCTATCAAATTTTTGCTTGGTTTGTGTTACTTAGGTGAAGGAGACTGACTGATTTCACAAACGAATTCGAACTACCTCAGTGGTGGCTAAGATGTGATTTTTAATCTGTTTATTTCGTCGTTCTGAAACACGATACAGAGAACAGTCATTCACACTCACTACGAGATTAGATTCCGCAAGATGTAAACCAATGGTAGTTGTCGTGGTTTTTTAGTTCCGCTGATGTTCAGCCTGGACAGATAGTGTTCCCGAACTCATGAAATTAAGCTCCTGGTCGTGCTGTCGTTGTACTTTGCTCTGTTGTAAGTGATTATCCATCTATGTGTTGACCCCACGTTTGTAGCTATGGGGGGCCTGAGCAAAGAATAAGTTATGTTGTCATGGGACGTGAATGAATTGCGTGTGCTCAGATGAACTGTTGCATATATTCTATACTTTAGAATGGAACTGCGTTAATATGACTCGCGGTCCAAGGCCAATCGATTTTGCAGGAGTCATTTCCAGTTGAATTCACAATGTCGTAGCTGTTGATGAATAGCCCCATGGGCGTTGGTGGCCCGGTGGTTACATCAGATTGTCACCTCGGAAGACGTGTGTTCGATTCCACCAGCATCGCCCAACTTTCCCCATAATGTGTGTTGTATGGCAGCCCCTTGATTGGCCGTTCCCCCCCCCCC